GAGTGCAAAGATAGCATGTGCTGTCTCCGTCCCCAGAGAGTATTTCAGTAGTCCCCTAGATGTGTGTTAAATTAGATGCCTTCTCCTCCTGCCGGTGCTTTAAGATAAGCAGGTAAGCCTCTTGTACAGAAAGTCTGAGCGCTTTTCAGTTGGCTGCCTCTGTTCTGGGCGAGTCCACTCATGCGAGATCTCTAAGAGCCATTTCTCAGTTCACTATAGCCTTGTGGGTCTTGTGGATGCAAGCCCCATTAGCTTCAAAGCCAGATGTTTTGAGGTTTTATCTCTCAGCTGCAGGTCTTAAAAGTTGGGGTGCCTGATGTGGGGTTTAACCCTTTCCTCCTCAGGGAGAAGCTCCAGGTTTTGAGTTCCTTCCTGATGGTGGGTCACCGTGCTGGGGGTGGGGTTCATGGTAAGATTGTGTCTCGGCCTATCTCCCTTCATTGTGGGTTTTTTCTCATTTGCCTGATGTGTAGGAGTTGCTTAGCTAGTTCTTGGGTTTTTTTCAGAGGAAATTCTTCCATATGTAGCTGTAGATTTGGTGTGTCTGAGGGAGGAAGTGAGTTCAGGATCTTCCTACGTTGCTATCGAATTGGAACCCCGAAAGAATTAATTTTTAACAGTCAATTTTTAATACTGGTCACTAGGAATATTTTGGGACTTGGGATTCCTTCTGTTGCCTCTTACTCTGGGACAGCTATCAGTTCCCCCCCTCAAGTATTCTGAATCTAAACCTTAACAGTTTCCAAATAATTTTATCTAAATTAAAGAGGTTTTACTTTATGTAAGCTGTGTGCCACTGTGCAAAATAATAGTCTCCATAATTAATTTTAAAAAGATACAACAAAACCGTACCCTCTTTCTGCATCCCCCAGCTATATCATTTTCAATTTGTAGTAAAATAAATTGAATTAACACCATACTTAGCATAAATATTGTTTCTTAGCAACATGTCTATACCCTAGTGGCAATTTTCAAGATAATGCTTTCCATTTTGTATAGTACTTTACAATTTACAAATGTTCTTTCTGTTTTCTCAGAAGTTAGATCTACATATTCCTACCCTATTGATGAAGGAATTAACACAAAGATGTTAAGTGACTTTTGTGTAACTCCAGACATTTCCCCTAGATCATCCCTCTTGGTAAAGAATCTTAAAAATTTTAGATAACTTCTTGCTGGAATGTCCCAACTTGTTCTCGTAAGGCAGCTTTTGGAGTTAGTATTGTGATTTTTGTCCCTTGTCTCCTATAGTCTTTCTTTCCCTTTCCTGTCATACTTGTTCAACGAAAGGGAGAAGCCATGTGCGTGCTGGATATAAATGCTGTTGGGCCCTCCTCAGCAATACAAACTCACTGGGAACATCACCCACTTCCAAACTTTACCTAGGTAGTTTCTAAGCTGATTAATCAGATTGTAAAACATGCTCAGCTCTATCTACCCTTTCCCATTTTGAACAGAGTCCTTCAGGTCTTGAGTCACTCAAATTCTGCTCAGAAATGGCAGTGAGAAAATTCAAAACAGAAAAACACACATTTTATAAAAGAGCAACAAATATTGTTTGATAGAATCTTGCACATACCTGAATTTTGTTCTAAAACTCACCTACTGTGATGAAACATCTACCTCTTGGGGCTCTTGCCTCTGAAATGGTTCAAACCTCTCTGGCAGCTTCAGATTACATTCATTATTTATATAATTTTAGCCTGATCTAAAACTACTGAGACCTTTTAATGATTTTTTTCTTCATTAAACAAATTTTCAATACCTCTAAAGCACTACTTTAGCAAGTCTTGAAATCATTTTCTCTATCTGAATATCTTTGGGCTGCTTTCAGTAAGATAAAGAACTATTTAAATAGCTTACAGAGACATAAACTGGGTTTATTTGTTTGAATAACAATTATAATATTAGTCTTGATTGCAAGTGAATTTTCATCTGATTCTGTAGCCTCAAGGACAAAGTCTAGTTCCCGAAGAAATAAATCTGTTAGTACCTTTTTTATTCAGATCAATATTAATTGAAAATATTTAATTTATAAAATGAGCCAACTCACTTTTGACTACACACTTAACATGAAGGGATGACTGAATTTTCCAGGAAAGTGGCCAAACAGGGTCAAAATACCTTATACATCAAGGCAGATTGCTTTTTGATTTGCTCTGATGCCAGGCCTCTTGCATTCAAATCCCAGCTCCAGTATTTACGTGTTAAATGACCTTGGGTTTATTATTAGGTAACCTCTCTGGGCCTCCATTTCCTCATATGCAAGTGGGGATGATAATTAAACCTTCATTATTGGGTGTGGATTAATTGAGTTACTATAGATAAAGTAAAAGTCTGGTTTTGTAATTCCATTTTCATCTAAGCTTTGTTTTTAACTCTTCAAATAAAAGCCTGATTATTTTCTTTTAAAGACTTTTTTCCAAAAATAAAATATATTAGTCTGTAGATTTATCTCCCTGCATGCCAAAGAAACCAGAGAAATTGAATTATACAAGCATGAAAAAAAGAATCATTTTCATGTGCATTATTGATGCTTGATTATCCCGAAGTGATGTGAACAATATTAAAAAAGCCACTTTTTATTGTGTTTCTCTAAGGTTAGCATTACATAATTATTTGGTCATATTTTGTTGTTTTTTATGGATAAGGCTAAATGGGGGAAAAGGAAGTAGTGATCTGAGAGATTAGGAAGAGAGGGGAAATCCTCATCTGCAGATAAAAGAAAATTGACTACAAATCAAATACTTGGTAGGTCTCCATGAGTAGATGATTAAAAATTTTATTCTGATATTCCGAATTTATGAAGAATGTATATTTGTGTAAGGCTTCAACTGTGAGTTGATATAAACATGGAAGGAAGAATAGATGTAAAACATTTTTAAATGATGTTAACCGAAAATGTTAATAGTCATTATATTTTCGTAATATAACTGCAGATGATTTTCTTTTTTAATATGTTGCTGCATTATAAAATTTTATACAATTAATATATATTACTCTATAATCAGAAATCAAGTTGGCAATCCTAAAAGTGGCAGTTATACAAAAAGTTAAAAGTGTACAATTTTAGAAGCACATTTATTGTTTAAAAAAAAAGTTGCATGCATCAGTGTTGCATGAGTTTTCATCTGTGATTAATTTTTTAATATTGAAACAAATGAATCACTTGAAAGTTTCAGGTTTTTGGTCTTGTCCAAAAATAAATGCTGTATACTTTCGGGTATACTTTTTCTACTTTGGGCTTATTTTATTTATTTTTTTGGTGAGGGAGATTGGCCCTGAGCTATCATCTGTTGCCACTCTTTCTCCTTTTGCTTGAAGAAGGTTGTCCCTGAGCTAACATCTGTGCCAATCTTCCTCTATTTCTTGTATATGGGATTTCTCCACAGCATGGCTTAATGAGCAGTGTGTAGGTCTGTGCCCAGGATCTGAACCCTCAAACCCCAGGCCACCGAAATGGAGCACATGGACTTAATCACTATACCACCAGGCCAGCCCTACTTTTGGCTTATTTTAATGTTGAACCTTGCATATTTTTATTTGTACATAGCCTTTAGTAAATCATACAATATTTCTTATAACATGCCCAAATTTATCTTAGAATCACGGAATGCTGGAGTAATAATGTACTGTGTAGAAGACCTAGTTCAGGGGTGCAACATTGATGACTTTGGTTCATTGTTATGCCCACCGAGTACTTTAAAAGCCTGTATGACTAAGTAAATAAAATGTGTGACCATAAAACAAGCAACATGAGTGTCCAGAGTCTTACTTTCAACGAGATTCATAGATTTATGTTAATGCCATGACCTCGTGGAGCATCTGAGATTGCAATCCCTCACCTAGTCCAGCTCCCTCTACCTGTCCATTTGGATCATAACCTAACTGCCTTCCCTAACGCCACTTTTTCCAATTTGGATTCCAAGGGCTCCCTCCCTTGAAGCCAGATATTTAAATACAATCAGTGACCTGTAGTGCCTGCAAATAAATATGATTGTGAGGGAAAGTACTTACTGGCTAATTTTAAGCATTGAAAATAGAATCAAGAGCATTGGGATTGGGGGTGGTCTGTGCGCCAAGGTATGGGATAGATAATCAGTCAATTTGAAGCAGAGACTTGATTATGATCTACAAAAATTAATAATAATGACTGCTACTTATTGAGTGTTTATATGCCAGGGACTTAATTGAACATGTTACATATGTCATCTCATATGATGCCCAGACAGCCTATTATCCAGTTTTACAGTCGAGGAAACTAAGGCTTAAAAGGGTAATTTAATTTGCCCAGGTCTCAAGCTAGTAATTGGGTCAGGTTTCTTTTTGATCTTTTCAGTATTTCCTGCCACAGACATTAAAAACTTGAACTACTAGACCAAATGTCTTTTGGGATTACAGCCTAGGTTTGGAAAGAACCTAACACAATTTTTTTTTTAACTAGCCTGAGCTTTCTACTAGGGGCAAAAATGTAATGACAACATTCACTCAACATCTGTGTACTAAAATTTGGGGGTGGAGAAGGAGTTGGGGAGGAATGTCTGGTGGAAGGGGACCCCAAACAGAACCATTAGTAAACAAGGTGTTTATCTGTGAAGTGTTTGAGTACTGAGAGCCTACAACAGCCTAAAATAGCACGTACTGTTAATGGGGATCAGTGATGAGAACTTTGTAGTTGGACGTGGAAAATGGTATTCGACTTCTATTTTTAAGGGAAGATTATTTGGTATAATTGGGAAAGGGGACATCCCTCATGCCTTATTTTTCCTTCTAAAATGTCATAGCTGAAAATATAACTAAAGTCTTGAAAAAGAGCTTGGGTTTCTGACTGATTTTGGGGAGACTCCAGAGTGAGCACCATGATTTATTTGTAATTTCTTGTCATGGAAAATATAGGCTGTAGGTCATTTGAACCAACAAATCTGGTTTTGGTTTTCTGTTCACTTGATATTTCCATCTTTTTGATCATACTGATTTTCAATCTATTTTGTCTCTTTCAGAAAGAGTTTTGGAACACCTACACAAAAGCGCAACAAGGAGAGAGTAACAGAGGAAGTGACTGGTTTCAATTTTACCTTACCTTTCCATTAATCTTTGGCCTCTTCATTATTCTCCTTGTCATTTTCCTAATTTGGAGATGCTTCCTAAGAAACAAAACTCGTAGACAGACAGTAACTGAAGGCCACATTCCTTTCCCTCAGCACCTTAATATTATCACTCCGCCTCCCCCACCAGATGAAGTGTTTGATAGCAGTGGATTGTCACCAGGCTTTCTGGAATATGTAGTTGGGCGCTCAGATTCTGTCTCCACTCGCCTGTCCAACTGTGACCCCCCACCAACCTATGAGGAAGCCACTGGCCAGGTGAACCTGCGGAGAAGTGAAACAGAACCTCATTTAGACCCACCCCCGGAGTATGAAGATATCATCAACTCCAACTCAGCCAGTGCCATTGCTATGGTGCCTGTGGTCACCACCATCAAATGAAACTGCAGACTTCTTTTTACTATAATCGTTTTTAAAATACTAATGAAAGAACTTTCTAGCACTTTACCACTACATAAATGTGCATTGACTTATTTTATTGGCCTCTGACAGCATACCACTTTACATTTTCTGATTTGATTTTCATTAATTTTGTTTCCTACTATAAAGTTATTATCCATGCTCATTTTTGCTAATGGAAATATGTTAAGAGGGAAAAACATACTAGTGGAGCTCTTCATGTGATGAGATATATATGTGTGTGTACATATATATGTATTGATGTATATGCATATACACGTGTGTGTGTACATTAGCCCAGTATATGTGCAACTGTCTTAAAAGGCCATTAACTTCTGTCTAAATCACCTGTAAAGAGAACATTACTCACCAAAATTGGGGAAAAAAGGCACCAACAATTTGTGTAATAGTTAGCCAGCAACATGCTGTTGAATTTTGAAAATAAGATGAACTTAGTAGCATGTTTTCTAATTAATTCTTACTGGCTTTTGTTAACCTCCTTTTTCTTTACTGTAAAAGGAAAAAAAAATGCGTGTTGTCCATCTTGATTTTAGGAACATCTCAGAAAGAGGGAAGACATAATAAACAATAACTTGCTTATAGTGTGTAGCAAGAAAATCATTGGTCATTAGTGGCATTTGGCTAGTTTTGTAGGAGGGATTTCTTGTTATTGTTGGCTACCTCCTCCCCCAAATTAAACAGTGTTTGCTTAGTATCTTTGAATGTCTCATGCTGTTTGTGTTGACATCTCGGTGGCTTGGATTTCCCGGCAACAGAATAATTTCTAAAGTAGATATATGCATCAATGACACAGAATAGATACAGATTTCTCCTTTGCTCATCAATTATTGGTGACAGTTATTTTCTTCTCACTGTTTCATTGCCTTTTACTCTACTGTCCACTCCCTCTCACACCACCACAGAATCTTCAAGCACCTAAGGGTTTAGTTAAAAACTCTTGAAATTATTTTCTTAATGTTTTTGTATAGACTGAAGTCTTTGCCTCAAGATGATTAGGAGGCAATTTTCCATTAAATTAAGAACCATGATTTTTATATTGCTCTCCGGTTGGTGGAGGAAGATTGCAAAGTCTGTGTTGTGCCAGGTGCACAATAAATCTAGTTATAGCTTCACATAGATCTCATTATTGTTGCTATTTCATTTTGTCTTTTCATCAAAAATTTTTTTTAACTGAAGGATTTTTACTTTTCCCTTGGAGTAGAGGGAACAGGCTGTGAATGAACTGCCGACATAAAATAAGACAGTTGTTTTTTATGAAGTTCCATTATGTATGCACTGATGGAAAATTCATTATATCGGTCAGGGAAATGTCTGTGTCACTCTCAAGACTCCTTAGTGCTGGATAAAATGGTTGATGAGGCAGAAGGGATGCAGGTTTCAGAAGTGTCATACCCTGTTGCCTCCATCTCCAGCCCCACCAACCCCTCCCCTAATCCTGCCCTGGAACCCAAGGAAGGAGGAATGCTGGGGAGAACCCTGAACTAGGAGTCAGATGACCTGAATTCTAATCCCGTACTGCAACATACTTGCCATGGTACCTTGGAAAGACCTTTATCTGACCCTCAAATTCCTCACCTCTAAAATGGCGATAATATCATTATTCCTGCCTTTCTCCAGGGGCTCTAAAAGGATCTAATGAGATGGTGTGTGTGAAAGTAATTGGTAAGGTGTGAAGAGCTATCTAGTTGTAAGGTCGTAGCATTGTTCTTATTGTTCTTAAGAGAGAATTTTCTCCTTCTATGTCCCTAAAATTTTTCAGCGCTTTCACATAGTAAGAAATAGAGTGGGTTGCTCCATACATGGCTAACATGTTCCTAATCTGAGTGTGTGGGCTGTTCAACTCCTGTCATTCTCTGGGCGATACCAATGCTGTGCCAACTTAAAGACAACTGCCAGCTCAGCATAAACAGGCTTAAGTAAATGTTGGAAAGGGAACCAAGATGTGTGTGTTTAGTTAATAGGTTTTTAGCTTTCATGGATTAAAAATGATAAATCTTGACCCTGGTCTCAGCAAAAATGACAATATTGTTTTGAATTTGGCCATGAGTACATGGTGATCTTTGGCTTCTAGTTAAACCTAAAAGGGTGAGTGTTTGATCCAGTGACTTGTGTGTGTATGTGTGGATATTTTGGGTTATTTTTAAATGAAAAGGCTCCTTTTGTGTGGAATTTTTTTTGTCTCTAATATCAGGCCTTGGATTAGACCAGCAGTTTTCAAAGTGTGGCCCACAGACTCCTGGGAGTCCTTGAGAGCCTTTCAGGGGATCTGTGAGATCAAAACTATTTTCATAATATTTGTCTTTCACTCTCTCTCAAAAAGTAGTTGAAAGTATAAAAAAATGCCATCTTCTCACAAATCTCTTTTCTGTTTTAGAAAATATAGCTATTTTCTTAAAAATATTATTTATGTTAGTACATAATGGACTTTATTTTTAGATGAGTAAATACTTTTAAATTTTTCAGTTTTATTTTCTATGTCAAATACTGATAGATATAAACTCCATAAACAAAAGCTCTTTGGCGTCCAGATCCCCAACAAATTTTAAGAGTAAAGGGGTCTAGAGACCAAAAGTTTGAGAATTATAGAATTAGACAAAGGAGCAGGATGTTCTATTGCTAAGTATATATTCTTACAACTTTATTTTAAACTCCTGATATTGGATTTAATGCTGCCTTTTAGAGATACCTGAATTGTAGTATAAGAATGAATGTTGATCCTTTGAGCAAAATCCAAATGCTTCAACTGATTGATGGCTACAGCTGTTTAGACTGTTTGTCAAAGGAAACACCCTACTCCATAGTGATAACTGGCATCAGCCACAGGTCTCCTAGTGGCATTTGCGTGATAATGACAGGATAAAAAAATACCACTTTCTTCAAGAAACATTCTCTTAGGTTGGTTTGGTTTGTTTGATTTTCGGTTTGGGTTTTTACGTTTTTAAAAACCCTTTTGCTATCCCATCTGGTTTTATAAACTGAGTTTCTTAACATTTGTTATAATTGAAGGGGCTTGTCTGGAAAAATATATATTTTTTTTATGCTTTTGCCTTTCTTACCTGATATTAAATTTACCTTTAATCATTTTTAATAAAGGTTTATTTTTGCAGGATATGTTTAGTACATTTCTTAAGCAGTAACTAAATTGAATCAACCAGTTTGCATTTAAATGAAAGAAGGGCTTAATGGTCATCCAGCAGAATGGTTTCCAAGCCTCCACATGCAGTGGTTGTGTCTGGAATCCTAGAACTGGCACTTTCTGCCTCCCTGCTTTAAATGTCACAATGAATTATATTTGTTTAAATTAAATGATTTTTTTTTCCTGTTGACCAGTAGAAACACAGATGCTGTGTTTTATTCATTGTTAATGATGACTGATATTATTGATGATTGATCTAACTGTGGAGGTAGCTTTAACTTGGTTCTGTGTAAATAGCATGTATTTTATTATAATATTTCACATTTTTAAACACTTGGTTTACATTAAATTATGGTATTTAACTTTTTATGTTTATACTAGGTAAGGTTTTTCTTAGGTTTCTGTGTTTTTGGTATGCTAAATAAAGCTATTTTGAAACCCCAGAGATTTTTTTTTTCTGCCACCTGTTAATTATGTTTTGGTTAGGTGATAAACATACTGCATAAGTTCTTATCAATTATGGCCTTTTTAACAAGGTAAAATTATGTTTTTTTATGAATTTAGGGGGTATTGCTCAATAAAGAAATCAGAAATTATCTGGTGAAGACCTCAGGGTGTTCTCAGCATAAGAAAGAACTTTCTGTACTACTTTTGAATGATGCTAGTATGATACAAAATGGGAACACTTGCTCCGAAGGGATAGATTGAGCTCCCTGCTGTAGTGTAGTTTGTCAAATACTGGGAATAGTGTTGTCTGCAGATACCAAGGAGCTGGTTTTTTCCTCCTTAGCAAAACAGCTTGCATTTGACATTTGAGAAGATGAGAAAGGAAAGCACAAGATGGAAACATTTGTGACCACAGGGCATCATCCTAAGTGTAGTTACCTCAAACACTAAAAGCTGATGTGACATGTCATCAACAAAGGAAATGTAAATATGACTTGATGTTTATGGTATAGAAAATTAAAATTATTTACTTACAATTTATACTTAAAATTCCTCCTTGAATATAAATGAGTATCCATTTTGTAAGCATAAGTCCCCAGAGAGTTGTCCAAAATGTTATAAAAAGGTACTTTTAAAAATACATCATTTCTAAAAAAATATATAACTTAGTGATTAATGTCATAAAACTCAACCTTTAGATCAAGACATTTCCAGCACCCAGAAGGCTCCTTTATAGCCACCTCCTTAAAGATAAAACTATTCTCATACCTATCCTAAGAGATCAATTTTTTAAATCTCGTACTTGGCTGTGGCCATATGGACTTGCCTCTTTTCCTTTCTTAAATTCTTAAGGTATTTCAGCAAAGTTCAAGCTAGTGAGTTCCAGAGCCATCTCTTGGCCATCCTTGAAATCACCTACTTGTTCTTTCTAAGCCTTTTCTACATACCTGAAGATTTTTGAGGGCAAGAATTCTGTTTAATCCCTTTATCTTTGTTCCTCAAATACATCAAATACCTAAAATTGAGGGCTTTTTTAAGACTATGAATTGACCAAAACATCATTAGCTTTCTGGCTGGTCCCTTTAATGTTTGTCTTTCTGCTGTAATTCTTATCACCTGCCATTTCCTTAGTCTTTGTATGATGACATTTTGCTCTCAGTAATTTTACTTTACTTCTATATTTTTTAAGACTTCAAAACCCGCTATAATCTGGTCCCACAGACTTATCTAACCTTATTTGCTTCCATAGCTCAGATGATAATTACAAAGTGCCTACCTTGTATAAGACACGAAGGATTAGAAAGTAATGGTGTCTATAGCCCTTGTCCCTGGGGATTTTGCAATCAGACTAAGACTGGGATAACCTTCTACTCTTCTAATTTATTGTAACCCTAATTCTACTCCAGCTCAGAGATTCTTTTTGCCCCAAGTCCCATGGTGTTTACAGTCATCTTTATCATGCAGTCCTGTATATCAGTCTATGCTGTGATTTCTATAAGTTTTTATCAATGGAAACTAACTTTCAAAAAAATTTTCATATAACCCTAGTACATGAAACAGATAAGACTGTTGCGATTGACTACAGAAGTGGGAAGCTTGGAATCCCACCATCTGTGACCTTCCTTGTCAATCC